CTCATTCATTATCATGCTGATTACCTAGAACCTAAAAATGTCTCTGACTGCATTCCTTGCATACCTAAGCAAGGATGTGCGGAATCAACCGGGCCAAGCTGGGGCCATCTGGAGCTATCCGGGCAGGGTCGACCAGGTACAGATGGGAATGGCTCTAAAAGGGTTGAAAGATCGATCCCAACTCTGACCAGAACGTGACATAAGCTCCAGCCTACCCAGTTAACACAACCTGAAAATCTTAGCCTCTTACATGCAAGTAATGATTTTTAGGAAATTTTTCAAATTTGAAATTTTAAATGATCATAAACCACGCCCACTTTGATCAATCATTACCATATTGATATTGTAGTCTTACGACTCTATAATAATGACAACCACTAGGTTTCGTGCAGATCCATTTAGCCAGTTCAGCAGTATAATTTCTTCCTATTTATAGTGCCCCCTATGGTTGAATCAAGCTGAAAATCAAGATATCCACTTGAATTGACCTTAGGTATGGTGGTTATGAATAGCTTTGAAAAATGTCCAAATCTTTTGAGGTTATGCTAAAAAAACTGTTTCATTCCCCCAAAATTATTTTAAAAAATCATATAAAAACAAATAAGCAAATTATCCAAAATCCCTTCACATTGTTTGGTCAGCCGCTCCTCCTCTCTTGTCAGGGAAAGTAGTGATGTGCTTGTGTTGGACGGCCGGGAGGAGTTAACAAAAGTACGTTTGACTTACTATGCAAATTTCTACTAATTAGCATAAGTTTAAATTATTTTTTAAAATACTCATCTAAATTTGACTGAATCAATGAACATACTGGATGAGACCCTTTGTTTTTTTACGAATGTAATTGGGAGAAACATGCCATAAACATTTTTGGGGTAGAACAGCGCCATCTATTGGACAAAATTCCAAATTTTTTCTGTGATTGTAGATGTCACTATGACTGATTTGATTTGTAACTTTCTGTACAGAATATATATTTTTCATGAGTAAAAGGGCGAAAACTTTTAAAGCCTATTTATAGCCTATAAGCCACGCCCACTTTTTAATCATTTTCGAAATATAGCATAAGGGTCCAATGATAAACATATCTGCCAAGTTTTGTGGAAATCCATCAAGCCGTTTTGCTGAAACAAACCTTTTGAATCTTTAGCGCCCCCTATTGGTGAATCCAAACAAAATTGCGTAGATAGGGTTTACCGCTCATACTTTGTAAGGTTCTAGAGTCTCATCATTTTATCTTGAAAATTGTTGAAGATATAATCAATTAGGACATGTGCTAGCTAGCGCACTGATTTTGACATGGTGTCATTAACCCAATTTTCAATAATTACGCGTTTTAATACATCACAACAACTTCTCTTCCTCCATAGATTATATGTTCAAAGGTTGAAGTTGATTTGATGAAAAATGACGAATAGGTGATTAAAAATAAGTTTTGCGTTTTTTGAGATCTAGCAAAAAATCTAGCTAGGCGAAAATGGGCGTGGCCAATACAAAAAAGATGCAGGATCATCCAAGGATCATGTCCATATAAAGTTTTTTGACTGTAAGGCCTATGGTTTGGGAGCTAGTAGCTCAAACGTATTCACCTCCGCAATAGCGCCACCTAGGTGACTCGGGGTCCAATTTTTCGAACCTGAGTAGCGGTCAGGATTTTCTATCAGACTGCCATATCAGATTTTTCCTGGCAATTTCAGGCTCTTGCCCCCATACAGTATTAGCGGAGAAGAATAATAATGAAAAAATCCGTAGAAAAACAATAGGGTTCCAATGCCCTTTGGGCTTGGAACCAATGCCCTTTGGGCTTGGAACCCTAATAAGTTGACCAACACAATAGCAAAACGGATTGCAAAGGATTGTAGACCCATTAGTATTGTGGAAGACCCGGGCTTCGTGGACGTTTTGCAGGTCGCGTCTCAAGACTCAACCTACAAGCCACCGTCAAGAGTCACAGTTATGACGAAAATCCACGAGCACTATCTAAACGAAAAAGAAAAAAGGAAAGAGGTCTTGGCTCAAGTAAATCATATCACCCTGACAAAAGACCACTGGACACCCGTGAGTAACAACAATTACCTCGGAGTAATGGCACATTACATTAGTGACGCATGGGAACTGAAGTCTTTTGCGCTGACTGTATTCAAAACCGAGGAGCGTCATTTTGCAGATGCTTGTAAAGAACAGTTCCTGTCTGTGGCACGTATGTGGGACATAGAGGGGAAAACAACAACTATTGGAACTGACAATGCACACAACATGGTTGCCACAATTCGACTTACACCGTATGAACACATGAACTGTGTTGCTCACATGGTGCAGAGAAGTGTCACAGTGAGTCTTGCTGACAGCGGCTTTGTGAATGCTTTGGTCAAGGCTCGCAACGTTGTCAGTCATTTTAAGCACGGCCCAGCAAATTCTGCGGAGCTTCAGGAACAACAAGCCAGTCTGGGAAAGAAGCCAGAGCCATTGATCCAGGATGTTCCAACACGTTGGAATTCGACGCTGGAAATGGTCAAGCGCTTGAGCAGCAATAAAGAGGCTGTCATCGCAGCCCTGGACAATCAGGAGCACAAACTCGTTTTGCCGACTGCAGCAGAGTGGGATAAACTGCAGAGGCTGGAGACACTTCTAGAGCCATGCAGGTAAATCAGTCTGTAGCCCATCAAATAATATTGCCTTGATTATTTTCCGGATATTTTAGTTTAGCTAGTGTTTAGCTGTGTAATTAGGAAAGTAGTTCGGGTTAAGTGCTCCATATCGTGTTAGTATCGTGGTGAGAAGGTGTAGTGTAGTGTGGTTGATGTGGCTCTGTGGGGTTGCACTCCTTTCCGCTGGACTTAGAAATTAGGCGCCAGGTGTTGCGCGCAATCGGTGTCTGGAAAACATTCAGCTCCCGCCTGGTGCTGTAGTTTGCAACCAGCATTTTACCCGCGATTCTGCATGTCTCCGTTTGAAGAGGGAGGCTGTGCCCACCGTGGCTCTTCCGCGATTTAGATGCAGCCCACCGACTCTGCTCCCCCACCATGACGGGCTCCAGTCTGAGGTGAGTAAGCTAAATAAACGTTTTAACATCTTCTAAAGACAATTTCCTACCTAAATGCAAAGTTTGAGAGACGTGGTTCACTTAATTTAGCTAATATCAGCCTGCACTGCCTTCGGGCTGAGTTGTCAAGTTCACAAAATGTGGAACGGGATGTAAGGTTAGAATCAGCGCCGAATTGGAACATATCTCGAAGCCCTGGCCGACAAAACGGTCCACATGGCTTGGAGAAAATTCGGGTTCTTTTTGTGTCAGTCGGTAATTCTGCAACAGTGAGCTAACGAAGCACTAGTTGACAGACAGCATTACAGCGTAAAATCCAGCTTGTGACCCGGTTCCGTGAGGAATTCTGTTCAGGAGGTCGCATTTCAGGCTCTCCACATCATATGTGACTGACTTTTACATTATAATAACGATCACACACTAGGAATGTTATAAAGCGCCTATATGTTTCTTTTGTGTATTATCTGACTTTATGAACTCCAACAACAAAGTGCTTCTATTTTTTTTTTCAGGTTAAATCTACCCAAGACACTGGCTGTCAGAATGCACTTGTCCAGGCTGACGTGAAGCCTTACCCGTAGCAAAGGTGAATTATTTTTAATAATCTTCTATGTAAACATTTTATTATTACCTTCTAGTTTTAATTTGTTTAACAGATTATTGTTACACGTGATTTTATGCTCTTTTAAACATTTATAAATGTGCTACTTCTTTGTTTTTTACATAACCACCGAGAATAGAGCTCACAGCCGCAGTGTGTCTGGTGACCAGTGTTGGGAGTAATGCCGTTTAAGTATAACGGCGTTTCTAACGGCGTTCTTTTATAGGTAACGAAATAATCTAATTAATTACTTTTCCCGCCGTTGCAACGCTGTTACCGTTACTGGGGACGGAAGGTTGTGCGTTACTATGTGCTTGTCGAACGTTGAGCAGCAGCGTGAGGCTTTCTGACCGCCACACTTCAGCTGCAGCCAGGGAGAGAGAGGTGTCGGTAACGCACTTACAAACATGATGATGATTGGCCGGGTGGGCGGAGACCCTCAGTGTTCTCACTGTCTCAGTCGCTGCTGCTGGAGACACAACAAAGCAATGACGGGAATAACTCCATTTAAAATAACCGCGTTAATAAAAAATATTTCTTTCTGTAACGAGCAAACTAATTAATACCGTCTTCTTTTATCAAAACGTTGTTTCTGTTACTGATAAGAAAATGCGTGCATTAAGCAGCGCGGTGTGTTGAAGCTGTCATCAGCTGATCAGGAGCTAAAGAGGCAGATGTTTAAGAGCATCACGGCCCGTGAAGAACGAGGAAGACGTGATGAATAGTCCACGGCTGCAGACCCCCCGCAGATTTGTTGCTGCAGCAGCGAATCTGCGGGTCTGCAGCCGTGCCCTTCTTAGCGTGACAGCGGGACGTCCCGAAGGTCCGCTCACCTGTTCACCGCTCAGACGTCCTGATCTTCTACCTTCCTAGATCATCCAGCTGTAACCTGTTCCTGATCATGTCTTTAGTCCCGCTGTAACACTGATGCATCAGTCTCAGACGTCATGGAGCTCAGGTGTTATTAGAACTACCTGTGTGTGTTTACCACCCAGCTTCAGCTCTTCTGTGGTTGGGTCTGACCCACGTTAGTAAATGTAAGTCCTCCATCAGATCTGTGCCTCTTCTAGTGTCATTTTAAATGATATTTATTTATTTATTTAACCGATACTAGATTACCAGCAACAGAAATGCTGCTAAAAACACACAATTTTGTGAAGCTGGAAAAATTAGAATACTGTGCAAATTTACATTTATTTCTGTAATTTAACTAGACTGAGAGACCATTTAAAGGCCCGGGAACCTTTACAGGTGTTTCTATTTGCAATTTTAAATTTTAGCTGATTGGGGTCTTGTTAAATATCACACAGTGACCTTTCAATAGTCTAGATTAGTGTAATGTTCCTGTTAGTAGTTCCTCCTGTGACACTTGGTGGTGACGTGTGAGCTGATTCACCTGGTAAATAACTTTTACATTAAATATTTTGTTTTTGCTATCAAAAGTAAATTAACTGATAACCTGCATTATTGCAGGACACTCAGCAAAATATGGACTACACCATGAGGCAGGCACACGTTAATACTTATAAGAGCACATAAGGTGAGCAACACCACATATTATTATTGTTATTATTGTACACTGTCCTGGATTTGTTTTCTTTCTGCATCTCATCATTAGCCTGGCTGATCACCTGATAACTCCTGTCATCTGGTTATGACAGCATGAGGATGTCCTCACACACCTGTAACCTATCAGCTCATCTGGCAGAATAGAGAGAGAAGAGACAACACCACATCTCCTGTTCCTGGAAAGCCTTCAGCCATCCTTCGATGACTGAGAACCTCCATCAGCTCTGTCTCCTGTCTGCCTACAATTATTATAATAAATATTGTGTTTGACAGGTTTTTTGTGCTGCCAAATATCTCATTTTGATTCCAGTTTTGATATTTTAATGGATATTTATAAATTACATTAATTGAATTATCACATTGTTGCATGTTTATCTAGCTCTATTGTGATGAATTAAACTAGCACCTCACTGTTAAAAGCTCGTTTTAATTTCCAGCATGTTTAAGTATTTATGGACATGAACAAAAACAGGAAATATATAAATTGAGATTTATTTAATTAATATAACAAATAAGGGGGAAAGAGTCATTAAAAGGCACATTCTTCTGGAAGCTCCTGATCCTGACGACACCAGCAGAGACCAGAGGATCACCTACGACCAAGAGAGCAGCTGTTATCAGTAAATAAATAATGAAATCAGGGCAGTTTTAGTGGGCTGAACACATTACAGAATAATTTTCTCATGGGGTAGTTTCATAACTTTCTGCAGCAGATTGTAACTTAAGCCCAGGGCTCCTGGAGAGCTGCAATCCAGCAAGTTTCAGTGGTTTTCCTGCTTTAACAGGTAAGATTAGCTGTTAAGCAGCTCAGCTATTTGTTGCTGATTAAAACCAGGTGTGTTGAAGCAGGTAAACCTCAAAAACAAGCTGAATTCTAGCTCTCTAGGGCCGTGGAGCCAAACCCTGCAGCTAATCCAATGCTATGGCTAACGGCTACTTACCATTCAGAGCTGGTTCTGTTGGGTCGGTTCCGCTAGTTTCAGGCAACTCACAAGCTCAAAACAATAAGGCTCAGGTCCACTTGTCTCCTCCAAATAGACTTGGTCCCTTTCTTCTTGAGTGTCTGGGTAAGGAGGGGGAGAAACGTCCTCCACTTCTAATAACTGCTCAGAGTGAAGGGAGCTAGCATCGTCTAGTTAGCCATCATCTTCGTCACTGCCGCGGCTCCGCCCTCTCGGTCCTCCAGGCAACGCCTACTAATGCTGCAGTTTTTAAAATTGATACGTGGGTGGAGTAAGTCTCTGAGGGGGGCATTACCACCTCTTTAAAGATTCGGGGCTTCAGCCCAAGTAGCCGGGCCTAACGCCGCCCCTGGTTCATGTGTTCCACATACAGTTTTTCCAATACCTTTGATAACTGAGGAAGTATTGAGATCAGCGGATAATTTGTGATCTGATGTTTTTCTCCACATTTATAGATTGGAGTGACTTTTGCTGTTTTCATCAGTTTGGGAAACTCTCCGCTTATAAAAGATAAATTGCAGATATGGGTTAAAGGTGTTGCCATATTAAGTGTTACCTGTTTAATTACAGTCATGTCAAGATCACTGCACTCAGTACTTTTTATTTTTAAAATTATTAACTATTTTGATTATTTCATTTTCATTTGTTGGTGTTAGAAATAAAGAGTGTGCATTATTATATGTACTGTATTTGTACTGTCAGGGTCACTATGTCATGTCTGCGTCGGCCCCCTCCTTTTTTGTGCCTCCTGGTGTCCTCCATCCCTCTCTAGATTCCCTTTTGTGTCTCATAGCGCCCTCATGTGTCCTTGTCTTCATCTCAGTCTTTGTGTCTTATGTGGTACCGGTACAATTATTCCTCCCAGGTCCCGTGTCATCTCATTCCTCCCCAGCCCTTCCAGGTCTTCATTTTCTGTGTCCTTGTAGCCCCCAGCCTCTCAGTCCCCTGCTCTCGGTGTGTGTGTGTGTGTGTGTGTGTGTGTGTGTGTGTGTGTGTGTGTGTGTGTGTGTGTGTGTGTGTGTGTGTGTGTGTGTGTGTGTGTGTGTGTGTGTGTGTGTGTGTGTGCTTGGTCATTTCCGTGTTCTGTTTATAGGTGTCAGAGTTTTTGTGTGTGTGTGTGTGTGTGTGTGTGTGTGTGTGTGTGTGTGTGTGTGTGTGTGTGTGTGTGTGTGTGTGTGTGTGTGTGTGTGTGTGTGTGTGTGTGTGTGTGTGGGTATTATGTCTTCCTCCAGATAGTTTGTGTGAGCCTTTCCCTCAGTCTTTAGGTTTAAATATTGTATTTTAGGGTTATCTGCCATTCTCTGTTCTGTTTCCCCATTTAGATTATTATCGTCACCTGCCTTCCCTCCAGCAGCTCACTCCGCACACCTGCTGCCTGTTTTCTTGATTGCCTCTCCCAGTCTATTTAAGCCCTGCCTTGTCTTTGTCCTGTGTTGGTCCATTAATGTTGTTTGTAGTTCTGTCAGTTTTGTCCCTCTGTGTTTATTCCAGAGTTTTTGATCCCCAGATATTTTTCTGGTTTTTGGATTTTTGGCTTCCAGCTTGGATATACTTGGTTTTTGGCTCACCTAAAAATAAAGAACTTTTACTTTATCATCATCCTTGCCTCGTGTCATCCTGGGTACTGCATCTTGGGTCCTCACCACCACCTCATGACACACTATTTGATTTGGATATTTTAGTGGCAAGTTGCAGTCCGATGTTGACAAAGTAGTCATTAAAGGTATTAACAGAACAGGACAACCGCACAATGCTGCGCTACTGAGAGAGGGCGTGAAGCTTCGTTCACACTGAATACAGAACGCATGCACAAGTGCTAAGTGTCTTTGTTTAATTGTCCATCAGCTGTGCGTAGATGTGTCATCAGAAATAAAGGGAATGTGGTTAATTTTCATGCTGAGCGGTCCTGTTTCTTGGAGTGCTGTGACTCAATCATGGCAAAGTTTAAATTAAAAAGATAACTGGTTTATTATAATCTAGTACTTGTTAATACAAGCATCGGTACACCGGTGGAGAACCATGCAGCCCGAAAGTCAAGTCAAGTCAACTTTTTTTATATAGAATAGAATAGAATGCCTTTATTGTCACTATACAGGTGTAACGTGAGATACAGAGCATCTCCTACTCAGTGTAAAACAAACATACTTGGGGGGGGGGGGGGGGGTACAGTTCTGCAGCGCTATGTTCATATGGAAAGTAAGTGTTATGTATATACAATTATTGCACATGGAATTTGGTATCAATAGATAGTGGTGGTCAATGGAGGAAGTGGGAAGTGGGGGGCTGTGTTATCGGTGCATGTGTGAGTTCAGGGTGGTTATTGCTTTGGGGAAGAAACTGTTTTTGAGTCTGTGGGTTTTTGTATTAGTGCACCTTGTTGGTCTCTCTTCCTTTAGACCAAGCACGGGTACGGAGTAGATGGAGTTAAACACCTTTTAAGTTGACAGAACGAGGAGACAAATGATCAGAAGTCCATTCACTGTTTCGCCGCTCATGAGGGGGAGAGTCTCTGCAGCAAGTCCCGCGACCTGCTCTTGCCAGATGCTTCGGACAGACTCTCGCCGTTCTGCTGAAAACGGCTGATTTTTATTGAAGATTACAGGAATGTTACATACGTAGTTTGCCATACACACACGTAATTCTGCCATCTGCACCTGCAGACGCACGTCAGCTAATAGCCTTGTTAATGAAAGACCAATTCATCCCAAGGACATGCAACCTTGAGATGATCAGGACACATCCTGCAACATCCTTTGCTAACAAAGACAGTTGTTCTTGTATTGAGGAACTGAAGGAAGGAACGCTTTCACTCCCTTATGCAGCTGTTCAGCTTGAGCAGAAAAGGCACAGAGAGGTCTTTGATATTATAACAAGATTCCATGAAAAGGCATATAATAATGTATTTATGATAATATATAAGGGGCAAAAGTGAGAGATACATATTTAATCATATAAAAGAGCTTATAATAATATATGAAAGAGCTTATATGAGAGATATATATTTTCAATCCCCCTTTTGAACTCTTTTAAGAGTTCAATAAAGATATAAGAAATCAAAACAATAACACCAAATTCCATCAAAAAGAATCCAATAAGCAAAGTTTTTTTAAAATACCAATACAAACAACCAATCAGATTACATTTACTCATCTTTCTAGCAGTAAACTAATACAAAAAACATGATCATACTTTCAACTGAACATGTTACAACATGTATGGATCGCATGCAACTCCATATGAGGGCGAAAAACCCTAATTATCATATGTTTATAGGGAAAATTCCCCCATGTCCCCCCATTTGTCATATCTCAATTTTGGGGCGAACACCTGTTGGCATAGAGTGTGCATGCCTAGGACATCAATGATCAACAAAAAATAAAACAAAACAAACAAAAAAATCATAAAAATGAACTGGTGAAGGGATGGTTACATAAATCACTGAACATTCTCACACTCTAACAACATCTTCTTCATCATGAGAGTCATCACTATCATCAGAGAGTTCCCCTCCCAAATAGATGTTAGGATTGGCTAGTAACAAGGGCATCTGGATAATTGGGTCAGCAGGTGGAGGGTGTAAAATATTACCCTTGTTAAAATAAATGAGGGTGTTAAATACAACCCTTGTAGAATGTTCATAGGGTGGTTACTTCTTCCCCCTGTTGAGGACCCTTCACTGGCTCCAGGCAGCTGCAGGGGGTGATGATGTCAAGATTCTCGTCCTGCAGGATGTGGTGGCAGCTTGGCATGCTACTGTAGTCAGCTACTTCTCTTCCTGGTTTTTTGGATCCTTTCTCTGGTTAGGCAGATGTCAGCTGCTTCTCTTCCAGGTTAGGCTCCTCCCGTCCAGCCGGACAGCGTGTGACGTCCTCTCCGTGATCCTGTATGGCTCGGTCCACCTCGGTTCCGTCCACTTCCTTTTGGTGACTTTTAGCAGGACCCAGACGCCTGGCACCGAAGACGAAGCCTCTTCGTGTGTGTAGTTTTGGTCCAATGAAGGCTTTCTCGGCTTGTGCAGTCCTTGATCTCGGCAGATAGTTGGTAGGAGGATTCACACTCCGGCCGGACCAGAAGTTCCCCGGACCGATCGCCTAGGGATTAGAGGTTATGCACAAAAATGTCCTAGCTCTTACTGACCCTAGCCTCTGATACCTTCAACATCAGACACATACAGTTACGAACAGCAAGCGCAATTAAAGGTACAGTGACATCACGACATGGACACACACAGACACACAAACACATACACATGCACATACACACACAGAGAGAGGGAGAGAGTAAGAATGTGTGTGGGAGAAAGAAATGAGTGGGATC